GGGATGCCCCCCATACCAGGCAATGGGGGTGGGGGTGGAGGGATGCCAGGGAGCGGAGGGGCTGGAGGTGCATTCATCATGGGAGATGTGGGGGTCACAGCTGCTGTGCCAGAGGGTGGGGGTGGAGGTGGTGGGGGTGGAGGTGCTGGGGCAGGAGCAGTGTTGGGTGGAGGGTTAGACTTCTCCGGCAAAGCAGAGCAGGCTGTGAGCTGGGAGGATGAGATCTTTTCATTGGCGGGTGGCCCCGAGGGAGGTGCTGGTGCCTTGGAGGGGTTTGATGATCCCGCTGGGCTCTGAGCTGCATGTGCACATGGTTCTAGCTCAGCCTGGACGCCTGCATTTGCACTCCCGGACAGCCGGTTTTCAGCTCGCTTTTGCTTGTTTGGATGTTTCTTGATAGATAACAGCCTCTCGATGACTTCTTCAACTGTGTTACCTTGGACTAGAGAAACGGGTCGGGGTCAGAGAAGGGGATGGGGCCCAAAGGTTAGTTCATGCTATTCAACCCTCGCCAAGCAGCAGATCTGGAGCCACAGAGCCCACTCCCTGGAGTCACTTTACACAACTGCACTTTTAGCTTCCAGGCATTTTCCTTCCCATGGTCCTGGCCCGTAAACACTGTTTAGAGCATGCCTGCCAGCAAGACTAGCCAGCACCAGCGGCAAGATGCCAATGAGGACAGATTCCCCCTTACTCCCATGACCCAAAGCTCAGGGCTCAACTATCAGAGCGAGATGGTTAATAACCATGAATTCCGAGACCACTGCTAAACGTGGCCAGCTCTCACTGGCATCCACATGGCTGGGGCTTTGCATCAAGACTTGACCCTGTGCAGCAGGTATAGCTTTGTCCCAGCTTCAGCTCTTAGCAAGTCCCATAGATTATTTCTTGTGCATTTGGGAAGGACTTTTATGGGCACTGGGTGGGACGAGGAAAACAAGAGGAGAGTGCAAGGCTGGATGGATACATCATTCTTACTGTCGTTTGCGAGCAAAAGGGCTCTGTTCACTACCGCGTCCAAGGACTCCCACAGAAGGAGGCTGGAGTGGTGAGATGGTTCCAAGTGCAGCAGGCTCTGGAGGATGGACAGCAGCTGGATGGAGACCGGAGAGCGACTCACCTGGAAGACAGGGCAGCTTTCCGTCACAGCAAGGCTGGTTCCCAAGCAAAGTGTGTTAACTTTGCCATTGCATGACTTTGTGCCCCACATGAGGGCCTACTTACTTTATTGAAGAGAGATGAAAAGACCTCATGATGATCGTTCATATTTATCCCATCACATATCTTCAATAATTCCTCATCATCTTCTATCTTGAACTCCTCAAATGTATCACACTGGATAAGCAGATCCTCCTCCTCTATGTCTCTGCAATATTACAGCATTCATTTTCACTGGAGAGGCCTTCACTGATTTTCAAATGATTGTTTTTGTTTAAATGGCTTTTGTCTCTTTGCCTCTCAGACTCAGCCAGTCGGTGATGAAAGTACGCAACTCTACCTTGTTTATAAAGGATCAAATGCCATCAGTGCATCCGTTCTTGAACTGAGTGTACCTCTTTCTACAGTCAACACATACAAATGAATGGGAGTTTTCATTGCATAACCTGGCCCAGTGTATGCTTTGTACGGACTTCTCCTTGAAGCTGTAACAACAGAGTGGCATTTCTACCTTTTTGAAGCTGGGCCACCTTCTTCTTTTTTTTTTAAAAGTCAAGACAAATTGAAAATATTCCAGTGGTGTTTCTGTTTGAAAAACTTCCTTCTTTGATACTCAAAATTGGATTAAAAAACCCCCAAACACTCTAAAGCCAACTTTTTCAGCATTCTTGAGACCACTCAGTGCAGGAACTCTACCGTTGCTGGTTGTCACTATTGAAAGATCGTCTCCTCCCTAATTTTTATGGGGTTGAATGGAGCAATTCCAGTTACATGGATAACTGCAACTCACATATAATGCATTCTAGAATTTATCATGGGTGTTTCGGACAGAACATAATTTTTAAATTAAAAAACTGCGAAGACAGGTATGTCCAGATATGCATTAGTAAAGTGTCTTCGCTGGATGCTTCTGGGACCAACACCAGCAGTGAAGGGGTTTGGATACAGCAAGCTGCTCAGTGAGCCCACAGCATCACTTCAGGTTCAGTCCGAAACGCAGCCTCAACGAGGACATTGCTGAACCTTGCTCCATCTGTGCCCAGAGCTTCTGTCAATGCCATCTGCGCCAACAGCTGCCCCCGTGACACTGTGGTTGGTGACAGAGTCTTAATGCTGGCCTAATGCCTTTGGTTCCCGTGTAACGGGTGCACACTAGCGTGGTCCACTCCACCCAGGTACACTTCACACAACTGAAGGCTGATAAGTATTAAGTTTCCACAGCTACGTTACTGTGAATGTCATTTATAAAAGAAAATTTAAACAGTGATCCTTACCTTAGCTTGTCTAAAATATCCAACAGCCGAAGCCCTGGGAGAACAAAAAAAGAGATATATTGGCATTATGACCTACTTGGCACTGATCTATTATGATCTTTATATAATGTTATGCTCATAAACACTTTTTGCAGAGAGAAAAAGTGAAAATATCTTCAGATGGGTCTGTCAAAGCGGGTAGGGTCACCTGATAAATGAAGAGACCCACAGTACACATCTGCAGCTGCGTGAACCACTGCAGCATCCCCCTGGAGTTACTGAGGGACACAGGCACTTCTGGGGCATGAGTCACCTCATTCCAAATTAGATATCTAAAATCAGTCAGATGAATGGTGTGGTCAAATGTCCCTTGCTCTCCACAGAGAGAAATGGAGCCCACGCTCAGCAGCTCGGATGCGTGCATTACGTGAGGTACCTAACAATGGTACCTAGGACCCTGGTATTCAAGCAGTTGGAAAGTATTTCTGAATCACAGGGCAGCTTCTGTGGCTCAACTGAGTAGACACAGGGCAAAAAAACCTTATCTACTCTAATGAGAAGTTGCAACATATGGAAATGTGGCTACATAAGATGGTTGGTTATAGAAATGTATTGAAGAAGCTCAAGTGATACAGTGCTGCTGGGATTCCAGAAAATATCAAAGCTATGGGAAAGCAGCAAAGTTAAAAAAACCTGGTTACAGAAAGGCTGTTGAAGAGAACAGATACCAAAAGAAAAAAAAAAGACTCCGCCTTTAATATTTGCAGTTTTGCTCCCCAGCCCTCTTTAGTCACCTTATGAATACATCTGAAAATAAAACTGCTTGGCAACTGATTGTCCCCAGAGAAAGTTAGGTGGAACAAACATCCTCACCTATGAATTCGTTTCTGATTTGTGTCCTTGTTCTTAGCTCTTCTTTTCCCAGTATGATGGCATTGATAGCACTCAGCAGCGTCACCATGTACGGCACGTTATCTGTGTTGGAGAGCTCATTCATTATGACACTGAATCGATACTGCTGGTTCTTCACACTCTGTTAATAACACAAGTGATGTTTCTGTTCAGACAGTTCAGAAATGTCTACCACTTTGCTGCAGGCTCTCAGGTGGAATTAGCATCTTAAAACCTCTCAGTTTATCCCACTGTGCACAAGACAGGAAGATACAGGTAAAAGCAGCACCCCTCCATTACGGAGCAGGGTCTGGTTGGCAGAGAAAGTCAGTGAAACTCCCCTTGGATCCCTTTACGCCTTTTGATAACTGATGCACCTACCTGAGCTTGTGGCCAGTGAAACCCATGGATGTGGCACCATCTGTTTTGCTAATCTGGTAGTGCCTTTCCTGCCAGAAAGGACCTTGTGGTTGGCAGTCATCTGTCCAGACAAGTCACAGAGCTGCACCATGGACTTATGCTGACCAGGCCAAATTTCCTGCAGTTTTCACCTTATAAATCCCTGCCTCTCTTACCAAAATGATGCAAAATGACTTTCATTCCCAGCCCTTTTCTGTGGTACATGAAGCTACCTGCATGGATCAGACCAGAGCCGTACCTCCTGCTGCAGCCCAACACTTGCCTTGTAATGGTCCAGGGCATCCAAAGCCAAAGCGTGGCCATCTGATGAGTAAATGCACAGTGCAGCCAGGAGCTCAAATACTTGCTTTTTGACCATGACATTAGTTGTGTCAAGTGCTGGAGGAAAAACAAAACAGAACAAAAAAGAATTTATGATGACACTAATGTTCTGAATCTGAATCAGTGTCTTCTGCTACATGGCTTTATAACCAGTGGTAGAAAAAAGACTGAAGGAGTGGAGCCACTACATGGAAGATGGGAAGAGAAATATCCCAATGTATAGATAACCCATCCCAATACCATTATGTGATAGTAACTTCCAGTGGGAACAGTAAATGCTACAGGTACCCTACTGGCATTTTGGTGCTGCTTGTAGTTGTTCATCTCTTCCATGTACCAGTGGCATGCTGCAACAGCAGCCAAGATCTCAGCACTCACAGTCACACATTTTATTTCCCATTTTCACATATGGGTATTTTCTACAACAGCAGATGAACCATTTTCCTCAATTAATGAGTCTTATTTTTAGTGCAGAAACACCCAATATGCATATCAAGTAGGCCAATTGTTCTAACCAGTCCCCATGTATTCCCTTTTTTCCACTACTCTTTCTCTGTGAGCCCTGGGAGCTGGGAGAGAGTGGATTAGGCCATCTTATTTTTCCTTTATTAGTGCACAAAGAAGGTTGACCGCTGAAAAGCCCAGGGTGCCCCCCTGTTTTTCACAGCAGAAAAATGCCAGCTCTGTATTTCACACTGGTTAAGAAAAGGCAGGGT